CGTAGCTTTGACTCGACAGTTGACCACACCAACAACCTCGAACATACTAACAACGCCACCCAAACCTTGCCATCAATCCAACCTTGCCATCGATACGTTGTGCATCGGTTTTGTTAACTGATACTACCACTGATCTGCAGAATACTGGGTATGTTATAGTTCCATCGTACAATGGATACAAATTCTAGTACGTTACGATTTCTGGTCATCACTTTCATATTCGACATCGCACCAGTTCCTCAGATAATGGCTGGGGTACAACTGTACATTGCGTAGGTACAATTGCTCTAATAACACTCACACGAATATTAAGTTGTGAATAACCCACGTTCATGCTATCGTTGTTGATGCTTGTCCTGTCGCGGTTGATTGTCCTACGCCCAAAACCATCTACTAGTACCGTCGTGTGAATCTGCAGACCACTTGCAAAGACATCTGTTCAACCCATGTGCCGGACAGCTGACGTACTACGGTATTTGTCAAAGGCTCCATTTAAATCATATCAATTCTGAATATCGATTGGCTAACAATGCTTGGGCAAATCACTGATGCGTCGGTAAATCACTGCTTGCTCACGTTACACTTCTCATCGCCAGTGTTCTCAGCACTTGGCATGATGTTTTCTGTCTAACGTCCGTGATTGCTAACCCAATCACGGCCGAGCAGGAAAATTAGCGTTGGTTCTCACCAACTCTTGCCCTGTTTTCTGCCAGTAAGACTAGTTTGTTGTCCACAATTTCACTTTTGGTTTTCCCATCTTGTGCCCGAGTGATCTGTCCTGCGTCGGACACTCTGCGCCCCTAGTACTGCTACCAACCGAATCCTATTTTTCACGCTTCCACCCATTTCCTGCATCGTGACGATTATGTACGGTACGGTAATAGCGTAGTTTTTTCATATTTCCCAATTTCATCGTCGAATCACTGTATTCCGCCAATTAGAGTTATACAGTATATGCGCAAAATCATGACTTGGTCAAAATTGAAATTGAAATTACTATGGTACGCGGTATTTACAAGCTCTCTGACTTCAAAATATCTTAGCCACACAACCAAGGGCTATTTTATTGCGATGGCTTGATGGATCGATGAAGATTGCGGCGGTGGTGGCGATTCTCATGGCATGGACATCATGCACCGAACAATCTTGTTTTGCAAATGGCCAGAGAAGCACGGACGAGCGCAGTCCACTCAACTTCGACCTCGTCGAAAGCTTTGTCTTGGCCTCGCCCGTGGCAAGCGTCCATCGATACACCGCCGTGTCATACGCTGCCAACGACCCGAATGAAGTCAGACACAACATCACGTCATGCACTCATCGTCGGTCGTGCGTAGGATCGATACGTAGTGCAAGTGGACTCGGACGCAGTGTTCGCGTCCGTCTTGGACGGCCACGGGGGATGGGAGGTGGCCGAGTACGTCAACAAGCACTTGGTCAACAACGCCGCCACGCTGCTTGGAAATGCTTCTTCCAACAACTTCGCCCACGTAACATGCGCTATCCGTCGTGCTTATCTTACGGTATGCTGGTGGTTGCATGCAGATCGCGTCGTCGTTGTCGAGTGCGTTCGTGGCCACCGACGACGCGCTGCGCGCCCGCCTGCTTCTAGCCTTTCAGTCGGGACACGGGAAAGCGAACCGCGTGGGTGCGTGCACGATGCTGGCGTATGCAAAAGGAAGCACGCTGGTCGTGGCCAACGGTAAGGACATTATCGTTCGACGTCCAATCCACGAACAATCATCGTAGCCGGCGACGTAAGGGCGGTGCTGGCGTCGACCGATGCCTCAGGGGGGCTGGTAGCAACACCCCTGAGCACCGACCACAACGCCAAGCATGTGTCCGAACAAAACCGGTTGACCGAAAAACATCCAAATGAGTCCAACGTGGTCGTGTGCCGATCGCCCGAGTCGTGCCGCGTCAAAGGCATCTTGCAGCCCACGCGGTAAGAACTTCGTCAAGTGAATGCATGGCAACAAGCGACTCGTAGCGCGTTGGGGGACTTTGCCTTCAAGTATGAAGAATTCAACACGTTACATGCCAGTTTTCAAAATGGAGGCGACGGTCTCTTCATCCCGCAGCCATACACACCGCCGTACATCCTGGCAGTTCCGGAAATCCAAGTGCATACGCTGACGGATGCCGACCAATTTCTCATTTTGGGTACACATACGTATATGTACATCTATATATATATTAAATTATGATATATATATATATATATCAATGTAGTTTACGTACTTGTAACCAGTGAACCTGATACGAAGTCGCGCAATTATGCGTCGTGAAAGTATATAAGGAGAATGGACCGGTGTATACGTTTAGGAAGCGATGGACTATGGGGTGACTTGTCCAACGAAGAAGTACGACAATAATATTTGTTATACTTTAAAAACCATGGCATTAAAATGTTATGTGTAGGCGGTGAAAATTGTCGCTGATTATGCATCTCGTGGCGAGCACGACCTAGCCGCCCAGGCATTGGTCTACGAGGTGATCGCCAAGAATGCCGAAGGATTGAAGTACGTTGTAGTACTGATTGCTTCCCTACAATATCAATATTCTTTTCCCTTTCTCGGATTTGAATAACGACTCTACTATTCCCTTTCTCGGATTTTAATAAAGCCTCTACTATTATTGCTTGAAAAATCTGATGCACCGTGTTCACAAGAAATTATTCCTTGTTTGTATCGTGTGATAACTTCACAACCCAACCGATGCTACTGTAGTGCGACTTGGGCCGAAATTACCAACTTGGTACCAGGACGCGAACGACGTAGTGTGCACGACGATACAGCCGTCGTGGTGCTATTTTTCTAGCCGTGATCAACATGTGTGCTCTACGAACGCCCCATGAGCAACATAATCGAGCACTAAATACTTGTAAAGTCTGTATCTTCAGTGGATCCTTGATTTTTGCACCCTGGTAATAAACGAATAACCCGTGAAAGGTAATAAATGTAGTATCTACTAGGGCGTTTGGAGAATCGATGAAGGTTGAATAGCAGACTAGCAAAAGGTCTATGGGTTGACTGTGGTGCACTCCATCACAATACAGACTACTGTAGCGAGTGACAGCTTAAATAGTTACTAGTATATGATAAAAAGATATCACAACAGGCTTCTACCGTATACCTCCCGCTTCAGTACCTATGATTTCTCCGGTTCGACCTGTATCAGTTTCCCAGAGGTAAAACGGTAAAAAATCCGCATAACTATCATTTCCGGAAATGAACCCGGAGGCATGAGTTTGTTTTGGACCTACGGTGATGACGTGGAATTCACTTGTGAGATCCATGACTACCTTCCTGCCTTGGACAAGGTCGTTATACTATAGGTATATGGTCTCACCATGGACGATGCGGTTGAAAATGACTAACTTGTTACTGTTCTATTGTGTTCATTGATGTAAGGAAAATCGGTCATTCACATCTGAAAACTTGTATCACTTCTCAGCAAAGGCTGTGCTTTGGTTGGGTTGCCGATGCACTCGGCGAGTTTAGTGAAGTGTGAGCCACAAGCGCGTTTGAAGGATCCATTGGCTCAAAGGAAAGGGATTGTTGGCTTTCCGTCAGCTACATGACATCGATGATTGGACAAAATTATCCATTGACAACATGTTATTGGCTAATTCGTCAAAACTGTATTTTACAGTCGAAACTGTAAATCTGGCCGATTTGCAGTCTCGCGGACTTTACAGTCGCTCGGTGGGGTTGTCAAAACTGTAAATAATCCGGATAGAACTGTAAAATAGCATTTCCAGTCGCACCGAAGCTCTGAGGTGCAAATATTGACGCAGTATTAATTACACCCCAACCATACATGTTTGGTCGACCATACCAACTCTGTAGGATGAAATCGGATGAACCAGTAATACAGTAGTTTACAGTACCTGCGAGTATGTAAAATACCCAATAATCCTCGGCGTTCAATACAATCAGGATGCCAAGCACTGTATGCAGTTACGAGAAGTGTGCCTTTGCCCATAACTATTGCAGTTCGAATCCAATTCGAAAGCCACACCCCTCACAATACGCACGTTATCAAATCCTGTAGAGTGATCAATTTTGACTTTCTGTTGCCAACCTACAAAAATAGTTACAACGTAAAGTGCCAATTTATGACGTATGTGCCAATTTAGGTCGTACGAAAATGCACCAATCATAGATCGTTATTTGAATATGCACCACTCATACATTGAACCTCTGAATTTCTATTCACAATTATTACATACAAAAAGGAAGGTTAAAATATACGATTCAAATTGGAACTCAAAATTATAGAGGTTCTTGTCTATAACG